TGCTGAACTCTTCGCCATTCTTTAAACGCCTGCTCAAATGCCTCTTCTTCTGGGAAGCCTTTCCTGACTGCCAGAGGATAAAAGGACTGGAAAGGTTCCAAGCACTATGCATGGAATCCACTTGTCCTATAACACTGGAAACTGAGGGTCCCCTCTTTGACTCTTAGTCCCATAAGACTAGGGAGCAAGTCAGGTCTAGAGAAGGGTAAGTAAAGTGGGGAGGCAGAGGGGATAAAGGGGAATCACCAGGGAAGGAGAAAGGGAGGAAGGGAACATGCATTTAGAGAGTGCCTACTATGTGCTAAGTGCTTTACAAATATTACTTTATTTGATCTTCACAACTCTGTGAGGTGAGTGCTGTTATTATCTTTATTTTACAGATGGGGAAACTGAGGCTGAGTGAAATTCAGTGACTTGTCCAGGGCCACACAACTAATAACTACCAGAGGCCAAATCTGAACTCAGGCCTTTCTGACTCCAGGCCCAGCTCTATTCACTGAGCCACCAGCTGCCTTGTTTTTAAACTATCTACACTGCCCTCTGAACTCAGGAGCCTCATAAATCATGTCTGTAGAATGAATGGCTGAGGGGGCTACACCTTTACCTAGGCTTCTGGGGCCCACAAATGCCTTCCTTTACAAGTGACCTCATTTCCTTCTCCCCACAAAACTGTGCCCAGAGATAGATCAGATAACCGTATCTTTGTGTTACTGCTGATGAGGAAACTGAGCCTTCCCCCAAATCCCACACCCACAGTGCACCTGCCACCCTGACCTAGAAGTCAGAAGACCTGGATTCTAGTTTCAGCTCTGCCCCTAACTTAGCTGGGTGACTGGCTGTATTCCTTCTCTCCTGAGCCTCAGTCTGGTCCTTTCTGGGATTCAAATACTTGGAAAAAGTTGGCATAAGACTGTTAGAAATCAGAGTGGAGTGTCAGTGTCCCCGCTGGGGGGATTAGTGGGCTCACGTGTTGAATGACTCCAGGGGAAACTGAGGCACCTGAGTGTAGTGGGGAGGGCCAAGAGGGATCCAGCAGCTGGAGGAGAGAGTCGGGCTTGCCTAAGCTCGGGGAGTGGAGGGAGGAGCCTCGGGGGCTGGGAGGAAGGGTACTGGGGGAAAGGTGACTCCTGCCAGTTGCTACGCAGGTCTGGAAGGGGAACCTTTCCATCTCTCCTGAAAGACGAGACTCGGGCTTCAAAGCCAGAAGGGAGCAGGAGGCGCCGAAGCATCTGCACCCGATGACCATCCCTGTGACCACCACGGTGGCCCATGGGGAGAAATCCACGAGTAACTAACTGTCCATGACTCACCTCACTTCCACCTCCCCTCTCCCGCCAAGTCAACTCAACTCTGTGGCATCTCCGCTCCCTGGCGGTGGCATTCCGATCGCGTGAGGCTCCGGGTCCTGACTCAGCCTTCGCACGCAGCGCTCCGTTCTAGGCAGCAGGCAGTTAGAGACCCGCCCGCCCCCCGCCCCCCGCAAGCACCAGACGAAAGGGGGAGAGCCGGGAATGAGGGGCAGCACTGGAGACCCAAGCTAGCCCAAGAGACTCGAGGGGGCTCAAGCCAAAGGGCCAGGAGCTAGCAGAAACCCCAGGCCCTCCCTGGTGATTCCCTCCTTATCCCCTCTGCCTCCTTTACTCGTATCTCTTTGGAGCCAAGTCCTTGGTGACTGAGCTGAGCAGCCAAATACAGTCAAGGACAAAAAGGAGTAGAATCAAACACCTTATACTTTATAGCACAGAAAATCCCAAATGGAAAAATGGTCTAGAGAGGAAAAGCCACTCCATGAAAAAAGAAACTGAGAACAATGGAAAGTGGAATCTTTCACAGTTATGAGTAGGAGAAAAAGTCACAACCAGTCAAAGCACAGAAGACAAAATGGAGAATCTCAAATATACAAAATGTAAATGTTTTCGCACACATAAAATCAATGCAGCTAGAGTCAGAGAAAAATATATGGATTTGGGAGAATCTTTCTATTACATATTTGACAAAAATTCGATGAGTACAGCCTGTAGGGAACTAACAAAAATATATGTTTAAGAACCTCAACAGAAAAGTTTACCAAGAAATACAAATGATCAAAAACCACTTGAAAAAAATTTCAAAATCACAAATAACCAAATAAGTACAAATCATAATCCTGAGACACCACTTAGACAATAAATGTCTTTTGAATGAATTCTGCCTTAAGGTAGCAAAGATGCTAAAAGACGGACAGAGTCATTGTTGGAGCAGTTGGAGGAAGAAAGGCAACCTGATTTATTGTTAATGAAGCTGTGAGTTGGTCCAGCTGCTCTGGGGGGGAATAATTGGAATTATGACAGAAAAGCTACTTAATTGCTCATCTCCTTTGACCTCGAAATCCCACTACAGGCACTATACTTCAAGGAGGTTACTGAGAGCAGGAAAAGCTCCTGCTATGTCAAAGTGTTGATGGCAGTATTATTTGTCTGTCTGTTTGTTTTTTAAAATTTTATTAATTTATTTTGATTTATCAACAATCACTTCCATATGCTTTTGAGTTGAAAATTTTTCTCCGCCTTCCTCCCCCCCACCCTCCCCAAGACGACACACAATCGGATATAGGCTTTACATTTACATACCCATTACACATTTTCACATTAGTGAAGTTGTAAGTAAAAATTAAAACCAATAGGAGGAACCATCAGAAAGATGAAACAAAACTCAACAGAAGGTAGAAATAAGTGATAGCAATTCGACTTCCATAGATCTTTCTTTGGATGTGGACAGCATTATCCATCCTGAGGCCTCTGGAGATGTCTTAGATCCTCATAATGCTGAGAAGGGTTCAGTTTAACAATCTTAGTCATTGCATAATGTGGCTGTTATTGTGTACAAAGTCCTCTTGGTTCTGCTCCCTTCACTCAGCATCAGACCATATAAGTCTTTCCAGGTTTTTCTGAAGTCAGCCTGTTCATCATTTCTCATAGCACAATAGTATTCCATTACATTCATATACCACAACTTGCTCAGCCATTCCCCAATGGATGGGCATCCTCTCAATTTCCAATTCTTTGGCAGCATTATTTGTGATAAACAAGATATATGTCCAACAGTTAGGGTATGGCTGCACAAATTATGGTCTGTGTGTGTAAAGGAGAATTCCTGCACTTGAAGGAATGATAAGTCTGAGAAATCTAGAGGATCATGTGAAAAAATGAAGTGGTGCCAACGTAAGAAAACAGGGCCACAACTGTGCTAACAGTGTAGCCATGGAAAAGCAAAGAACTCAGGGCCAGGACAATTGTCACCAGTTAGGGGACCCATCTCCCTGACTTCTCTGTTACCAACTCAATTGTTTTTTTGGGGAGTGCACTAAGTTAAAAAGTATAGTGAGGTGTCCATTGGGAAATATCTGTTGTGTCCAAATAAAAGTTATCAATACATTTTAAAAATAAAGTCATGCTCTGGCTTAGTGATCCTTCCAAAAGGGCCAGAAAATAAGTATTTATTCCAATCCTTTAAGGGCATGTGATTCCATTGGTGATGCCTTGGAGGCAGGAGCTATTATTGTCTTCATTTTATAGTTGCAGAAACTGAGGCAAACAGGGGTTAAGTGACTTGCCCAGGGTCACACAGCTAGTAAATGTCTGAGATTGATTTGAACTCGGGTCTTCCTTACTCCAGTCCCAGGCCTCTATCCATTACACTATCAATCACCTCTAATGGCTCTTTAGGTGGCCTACAGTTTTCATGTTTTGGTTTTTGCTTTTTTTTGTCTAGGCAGTCGGGGTTAAATGACTTGCCCAGGGTCACACAGCTAGTAAACATCAAGTGTCTGAGGTTGGATTTGAACTCAGGTCCTCCTGGCCCCAAGGCCAGAGCTCTACCCTCTGTGCCACCTAGCTGCCCCAGTTTTGACGTTTTGGAAGAGGAGAGTTTTTAATGACAGTTCGCCATACAGCCCACTGGAAGCACACTGGCATTTAAAGAAAGGTGGGTTTTTGTTTTGTTTTGGTGAGAACTTCGGGGCTCATTAAAAGCATTGCACCATTTCCCAAACGCAAGTCAGCCTGCTGTCGTAGTCAGTTCTAGGCCTGACTGTGACCTTTGCAGCATCTGCCAAGGTACGGGCTGCCTAGCCAAGCGCACGTCAGCCCAGACAACAGGCAGGTTTCATCCACTTGGTTTTTCCTGTCTAGATAGTTACTGTGTGTCCCCTTGAGGAAGCTCAGCTCCCCACAGGAGCTCACTGCAGTGTGAAGACTGCCAAGAGGAGCTTGTAGAACAGGCCCCCGGCTGTGCAGGTCCGATCTAGAGGAGGCCTCTGTCTCCAGGGAGGCAGTCCCTCTTCCATCGGGACTCTGGGGGGATGGAGCAAAGGCCTCTGGCAGGGAACATCCATTTCTCAGCGTCCATCAGGGGATCACCGGGCCACGTGGGGCTCTACTATTGTGTCCTTCACGGAGCCCTGTTTGATTCTCGCGTGGAACGTTACAGATAAGCCAGGAGGCAAGGTGAAATCTCCCCCTGCTCTGAACCCTCCCGAGGCTGGAACGGCCTCCTCTCTTCTCCCTTCTTCCAGGCTTGACTAACGGGCATGTGTGTGATGATCCAACCGGTGGGTATGAAATGGCTTGAGAGAGCGTGCTCTGTGTAAATAGCGTACAACAGAAGCTCTCTGAGGGTGGGGAGCTGTTCATCTTTCTTCACGCTCCCAGCACTGGGTACAGAGCCTCGTGCATACTACTGGGAACATAACAAATGCTTGTCGAAGTAAACCGAGTTTTGCCCTGAGAGGCAGATGTTAGGGCACGGAAAGAGGTCTGGACTGGAAGTCAGAAGACACAGGTGCGAATCCCCACCCTGGCAGCTGTGACACTTGATGTCTGTCCCTCGGTTTCCTTATCTGTAAAATGGGGATGCTAGCTATGCTCCCTAATTCACAGGGCTGTCGTGGGGATCAAATGAGAATGGACTGAAAGTTCTCCGCTGGTACCACAAGGCAGGGAGCAAAGCTGTCACAGGAAACAGTCAGTCAACACGCATTTATTCAGGGCTTTCTAGGCACCAGGTACTGTGCTAAGTGCTGTGGATACAAAGAAAAGCAAAAAACAGGGTCCCTTCCCTCAAGGGGCTCACATTCTAACGGAAGAGACAACATGTTAATAACTACATAGACACAAGGTATATACAGTGTAAAGGAAAGGAAGGCAGTGAAGGTGCCAGGGAAGGCAGGAGGCAAAGGTGAAAAGAAAGAGCGCTCCAGGTATGGGGCACAGCCGGTGCAAAGGCCTGGCGTCGGGAGATGGTTTCACCTGTGCAAGAACAGCCAGGCCATCGTACCTGGATTATGGGGTTTGAGGGAAGGAGTAAAGTGTCAGAAGACTGGCAAGGGAAGAAGAGAGCAGGCTGTAAAGGGCTTTCATGCCAGACAGAGCGTTATCGATCTGGTCCTGGGGGTGACGGGTGCCAGCAGAGTTGGTCCATGGTCAGGCTTGTGGCTACTCAGGTTTTGGGTCTTGGCTAGCCCCTAACACCCTTCCTCTGACCTGTAAACCAGAGGACCGGAGTGGGGCGGGGTGAAAACAAAGGTGGGCTTTACTGAATCAATGGAAGGGATGGTATAGGGAGCTGTAGTCCAAGTAGGGCACAGAAGACACTCGCTCCACTAGAGGGCCCCTCCTAGGGGCCCAGTCCACGGTCAGGACTACAACTCCCAGGACACAACACTCCATCAGCTCTTCTGTGCTGTGCCAGCCAGGGATGGGTGAGGAGCAGCTCTAAGCAGGGGGAGGGGGGCCCAGCTGAGGCTCTGGGCCTGTAACAGAAGCTCTCAGGAGGAGGGTCCCGTTCGTCTTCCACTGACGGGCCGATATCGGGGAAGGGGGGGTGGGGAATGATGTCACGTCTCAGCCTCCTCTGCACCCCTTCCCCTTTCCTGAGGCTTAAGACTGGTCCCCAAAGTCCAGAGCCCTGGAAGGCCAGCCAGAATGGCTGTCTGGGCCCTCCCCACCCCAGATGTCTCGGCTCCCAGCACAGGGGCACCTGCCCCGGCTATGTCAGTGCTGTGTTGTTGAGCCGATCCAGAACTCGGGAGCAGTGGGGGTTGCTCTCCAGGTGGTAGCTGCTCTCATAGAGGGTGGGGCACAGGTGCCAGCGGTTAGCTCGATAGATTCCTAGGTAGGTGTAGACATCCGGCTTGTAGGTCAGCGGACACTTGACCCCAGCTGCCCGGATGGCAGCATCAGCCTTCAGCACTCCCTCCTGGTCTGTGAAGTCCTCCGTGTAGACGCAGATGACCTGACGCTCCTCTTCCTGGGCCCGGGGACTCACTTTGGCCACTTGCAGCTTCCCCTCCACCACGGCCCTGGCAATGCCGGCCCACGCGTGGTCCAGCTTGAAGCCAGGGGTCAGGTGCATCAGCCACTTGCCGGTCAGGACCTGGTGGGTGAGGGCCAGCTCCCGAAGGATAGCAGGCGTGATGGGCTGCCCGCTGGCCTGCAGGGCTTCCCAAGCCCCCTGGAGTCCCTGGACATCCCCAGCTCCAGGGGAGAAATCAGGCCCGTAGACGGCGATCCAGCCGACAGGCTTGGGATTGGGGGCGCTGGGCCCCCCATAGCGAGAGACGCGGGAAGGAGGGTAGGCGGCCAGCCAGGAGTCCAGCTCACAAGGCGGGGTGCTGCGAGCATCAAAGACCAGCCAGGGGTCCATGTCTGCTGCCATAGCCTCAGCAGCCAGATGCTCTGCCGTGAAGCCATCCTCCTGGCCCCCATGGGGGATCTCTTCCTCCGGCAGCTCGATCCTGCGGGGAGGGGGAAAGGTGAGGCCCCCAGAACCCCAACCCACGTGCTGGCTGCCTGGCCTACCACACTGCTCCTCCTTGTTGCCCTTTAAAAAGACAGGGCTGGGTGTCACGGTGGGTAGAGTTCTCAACTCGAGTCTGGGAAGCCCTGGGTGGAAATGCTGACTCGGACTCTTAGGTTGCTGTGCGACTCTAGGCAGTCACTTGACTACTCTCTGCCTCGGTTTGCCCGTCTGTAAAATGGGGTTGATAGCACCTGCCCCCCCCTCCCCGAGGTGGTGGGGAGGCCCTAATGAATTAACACAGGGAGGGCTCTTGGCAACCCTCGGAGAGCTAAGTCATTGAGCGATATCACGATTAGATTACCATTTTATTACTATTTACTCGTGATGACATAAAGCCCCTTCCCTCCCACCCTCGAGTTCTTAAAGGAGATAAGGCCTCAGTCTAAGAAGACAAAACCCGAAGGGATCCCGGCAAAGATCACTAGTTTGGGAGTCCTGCCGGGGCCCCCCTGGCCAAGGCGCCCGGTGGGCCTGTCTCCCTCCTCCAAAAGGAGGCTCCTCCCACCCGGCTCTTCCCAGCTTCGCCTCCCCTCCCCCGCCGGAGGGGGCGCTCGCCGCCGCTCGCCTCCTCCCCGTCCCTCCCCCCACCCTGGCCTTGGCCCCTCCCGGCTCCCGTACACTCCCCGCCGCTGCCCCTGCCCTGGCCGCAGTCTTCGGCCCCGCGATCCCGCCGTCACCCCTCCAGGCCCAGTCACCTCCGCCTCTCGCTCCTCTCCGTGCCAACCCGGCCTGGCCCCCGCTCTCTCCGGGGCTCCTCTCCGCCACGGGCTCTCCGCTCCGCCCACCCTACGGCCGCCGCCATCTTGGGCCGCCTGACGCCTCAACAACAACTTTATCGGCAACCGCCGGCCGCTGTCCGGGACAGCCAGAACGGAGGGGGGCTGGGGGACCGGGGGGCGGGACTTTTCCCGACGTGGCGGAGGACGCGACCAATGGGGAGCGGGACCTCTCCGCGGAGGCGCCCCGCTTGAATGTGCGGAGGGCGGGGCCGTTGAAGGCGTTCCTCCATCAGTAGGGAGGCGGGGCGAACTTCGTCTTCCTCGGCGTGTCTAAGGGAGGAGAGGCGCTGGTGCGGGGCTGCGGGGAGGAGCGGGGAGGAGCGGGGCGGAGCGGAGCGGAGCGCGTGCGGTACGGAGGGTGCTAGGACCCGGAGGAGCGAGCAGCTGCACGGGGCTAGGACCCTGAGGCGCAAGAGGGAGCCCGGCGCTAGGACCCGGGCGGGGCCGCAGCCGGAGCCGGAGGAGCCGCGGCGGCGGAGCCCGAGGAGCCCGAGCCGGAGCCGGAGCCGGAGCCGGGGCCGGGGCCGGAGCCGGAGGGCCGAGGCCGAGGTGCGGCGAGAGCAGCAGCGGCGGCGGCGGCGGCGGCAGCAGGAAGCCCCGAGATGCCGAGCAAGAAGAAGAAATACAACGCGCGCTTCCCGCCGGTAAAGACCCGGCCCGGGCTCCCGCAGTCGCCCCCGGCCCCGCTTGGGCCTCCCCGCGCCCGGCCCGCAGCCGCCCCGTGACGGCTGCCCCTTCCCCCCGGGGCCCGGATCCTCGCCTCTCCTCCTCCCCGGGTCCCCCGCCCAAGGATCCCGGGGGCCCCTCCCCCAGCACCTCCTAACCTTGTGCTACCCGCCCTCTGATCGCCCCCCGCTGCGTCTGCTCCCCTCCAGCTCCTCCAGCAGCCAGGGACGCCCCACGCCCCCAGAATTCCCCTTCTACACCTGGGCCTCCCATCTCGCCTCGGTCCCCCTCTGTGGCCCCCTCACTTCTCCCTGTTCTGTTCCTGGGGCCCTGTCTCGCCGGCTGCGGGACCGGGCCGCGGCCCCTCCCCCACCCCGTGGCAGCCCCCCCCCCCGCCCCTCGCCCCCCGCCCCGGTCCCAGACATCACTTTGCTGATGGGGGTAGGGAATGGGTTCTTGTATCCGTCGTTCTTAAAGCTGTTCTCCCCCCACCCCCATCCCAAGGCCAGAATCAAGAAGATCATGCAGACAGACGAGGAGATTGGCAAGGTTGCAGCAGCTGTACCTGTCATCATCTGTATCCTTGGCCGCCGAGGGGAGGGGGCTACCTGGGCTGGGGGCTCAGGAGGGTGGGGACAGAGGGCTTGGGGCTCAGGGGGGTGGAGAGGAGGGGCTGGAGGCTCAGGAGTCTGGGGACAGAAGGGCTGGGGCTCAGAAGGCGGGGGAGGAGGTGTTGGGGACAGTGGGGCTGGAGACAGGGCTGGGGCTCAGGAGGGTGGAGAGGAGGAGCTAGGGGCTCAGGAGTCTGGGGACAGTAGGGCTGGGGGCTCAACAGTCTGAGGACAGTGAGGCTGGGGGCTCAGGAGTCTGGGACAGTGGGGCTGGGGGCTCAGGATTCTGGGGCAGAGGGGCTGGGGGCTCAAGAGTCTGGGGACAGTGGGCTTGGGGCTCAAGCGTCTGGAGACAGTGGCGCTGAGGGCTCAGGAGTCTGGGGACAGTGGGGCTGGGGCTCAGGAGTCTGGGGACAGTGGGGCTGGGGGCTCAGGAGTCTGGAGACAGTGGGGCTTGAGGCTCAGGTGTCTGGGGACAGTGGGCTTGGGGCTCAGGAGAGTGGGGAGGAGGGGCTGGGGGCTCAGGAGTCTGGGGACAGAGGGGCTGGGGCTCAGAAGACAAGGGAGGAGGTGCTGGGGACAGTGGGGCTGGAGACAGAGGGCTGGGGCTCAGGAGGGTGGAGAGGAGGGGCTAGGGGCTTAGGAGTCTGGGGACAGTAGGGCTGGGGGCTCAAGAGTCTGGAGACAGTGGGGCTGGGGGCTCAGGAGTCTGGGGACAGTGGGGCTGGGGGCTCAGGAGTCTGGGGACAGTGGGGCTGGGGGCTCAGGAGTCTGGGGACAGTGGGGCTGGGGCTCAGGAGGGTGGGGAGGAGGTGCTGGGACAGTGGGGCTGGAGACAGAGGGCTGGGGCTCAGGAGGGTGGAGAGGAGGGGCTAGGGGCTTAGGAGTCTGGGGACAGTAGGGCTGGGGGCTCAAGAGTCTGGAGACAGTGGGGCTGGGGGCTCAGGAGTCTGGGGACAGTGGGGCTGGGGGCTCAGGAGTCTGGGGACAGTGGGGCTGGGGGCTCAGGAGTCTGGGGACAGTGGGGCTGGGGCTCAGGAGGGTGGGGAGGAGGGCCTGGGGGCTTAGGAGGCTGGAGAGGAGGGGCTCAGGGCTGGACCAAGCTTCCCTGGTTTTTCTTGACAAGCTTCCACCAGCCAGGGCTTTAGAACTCTTTTTGGAATCGCTGCTTAAGAAGGCCTGTCAAGTGACCCAGTCTCGGAATGCCAAGACTATGACCACCTCCCACCTGTGAGTTCTGGCAGGGGGGCCACACTCTGCTCCCCAGCTCTGGCTTTCCCCCTCCATCACCTGGTCCCAGCCCCAGCGTCACTCTCTCCCTCTGACTCCCTCACCTTTGAAAAGATCACCAGATTTGGAATCAAAAGACCCACGTCTGAATATCTGTTCTGCCCCTCACCTCAGCCAAACCCCTTTCTGGTTCTGGGCCTCGGTTTTCTCTGCTGTAAAAACTTCTAAGGTCCCTTCCAGTTCTCCATCTCAAGAGCCTCTGTTGCCCCTTGCCCAGAATTGAGAGGGTGCCCCAAGTCCCCCTTCCCCTGGAGCCCGAAGGGGGAGCTCAGTCCCTGTTACCTCCCGTCCTAGGAAACAGTGTATTGAGTTGGAGCAGCAGTTTGATTTCTTGAAGGACCTGGTTGCCGCCGTGCCCGACATGCAGGGAGACGGAGAAGACAATCATCTGGATGGGGAGAAAGGAGCCCGCAGGTAAGAGGGTACATCCCCCATTCTCCTTTGAGCCACCCCAGGAAGGCATTTTGTTTCAAAGAAAATATTTCCAAAATCTCACCAGCACCAAAAGAAAGAGAGAACACTTCTTATACAAAGTAGAACAGGCACAGAATATTTATTCAGCTCCTCCTAATGCCAGGTGCTATTAAACCCCAAATCTCACTTTCTCTGTCTGTGTGTCTGTCCCTCCCTCCCTCCCTCCCTGTCTCTCTGTCTTTCTCTCTCTGCGTATGTGTATTTCAACATGTTGCTTTCTTTTTAAAAATTTTTCAAAATCTTTTATTTTTACGTCACCCAAAATTCTCAGGGCATCCCCTTCCCTACCCCCTCCCAAAGAGATGTCCCATGTAACAAATAACAGTTTTTTGTTTTTTAGGGGCTTTTTTTGCTAGGCAGTGTGGTTAAGTGACTTGCCCAGGGTCACAGAGCTAGTAAGTGTTATGTGTCTGAGGTTGGATTTGAACTCAGGTCCTCCTGATTCCAAGGCCAGTGCTCCATCCACTGCGCCACCTAGCCACCCCCAGCAAATAACAGCTTTAAAGAAAAAAGTCAGCAGAACTGACCAACCCTTAGACAAAGTCTGAAACCATGCAGCAGTCCACACCCGTAGACCTCCTCAGCTTCGGGGTCAGAGTCGAGGAGGGAGGCTGCGCTGAAGCTCAGACAGTTTTTGCTACTCAGTTGCTGCATTGTTGAAGCCCACGCAGCCATGTTCTCCTGGCCTTCCTCATTTCTGCTGCATCAGTTCATGCAGATCTTCCCAGGCTTTGAAACTGTCCCCTTCCCCTTTTTTTTACAGCGCTATAATATTCCGTTACACTCGCATATCATACTGTGTTCAGCCCTTGGCCATTAGGTTCAGCATAAAGCCAGCTGGGCTGATGCCTTTCTACATGTGGGTCCTTTTCAGTGGTGTCCATGAGTCCGAAGGCTACGCACGGTTTCAGACCTCTCTGACCGAGGGTCTGAGTGGTCCTGCCTCCCTTGGGAACCTGAAGGTTTCAGAGGCTCCTCAGGGCTGTCCTGACTTGTGATTCCCTCGATCCTCACGGTGCCGAGCTGTCTCGGTGGCTGAACAGAAGTGTCCTGAGGTCAGGCCCTGGTTTTTTGTGTCCCCTGTGACCTTGGGCATTCATAAATGTTCATAGAGGATTGCTTATGGTACTCACTGTCACCTTGGTTTCCAGATCTGAAAAGTGACCTTGAAGGGCCTTTCCAGTTCTAAAGTCTTATGGTCCAATTCTAGGGGCCGGAAGCCTGGGAGCAGCCGGAAGAATGGTGGTGCCGGAGGAAAGGGGAAAGATAAGAAGCAATCTGGGACAGACTCGGAGCAGGAGGTAAGCTAGCCCAGTTAGACTGTCAGCTCAATGAGGGCACGGCCTGTTTCCCTTTGGTTTCTCCAGTGACTGAGGGGTCATCCTAGATTGCAGCTGAGCCCACAGACAGTGCCCCAGGCCTCCGAGAGGCTTCCTTGGCCTTCTTCGTCCCTTCCCCTTCTCATCTCCATGTCTGATGTACCTGGGCAGTCAGCGTGACCCCTTGCCCCTGAGCTCAGGGGGTCTGATGGCTGACCTGGGTGAGGTCTTATCATGATGCCGCCCACAGGATGATTCTGAAGACACAGAGACAGATGGGGAGGAGGAGATGCCACAGCCCCCACCCCAATCCAGCCGGCCCACGGCCCAGTTCCAGAGGTGAGGTTGTCGGCCTCGAGGCAGGAGTGGGGAGTGATATGGGGGGGGGGTGGCTCAGGCTGGGGCCGAGGGGAGTGCAGGGGTCTGTCCCAACCCATGTCCATAATGTCTGCACCACCAACCTCCCAAGCCCACTTTGCAAACCATTCTAGCACCCCAGATGTGGAAATGGGCCCCATAGTTCTCTAGGGTCCTGTTGGAGGGAGGCAGGGGTTCTGCCTTGAGGATGCCTGTACAGCTGATCTGACTGCCTCCCCCCGCCTTGTCTCTCTGCTCCACAGCCCCCCGGCCCCTTTCCTCCCCTTTTCCTCTACCCTGCCTCTCCCTCCAGCACCCCCTGGCCCGACAGCTGTTGAAGAAGAAGAAGATTATGACTCATAGGCCCTCCCCCCGGCCCTCCCCACCTCCCACCCTCCCCCCTCATTTAGTCAATTTTAGTGGCTGAGGGTGAGGTGGGGGGGTAGGGGAGGGCCTTCTTAAATTTATTAAAAATTTCTAAAAAGAAAGAGGCTCCTGAGTGTTCAGCTGCCTCCTCTGTCCCTGGGTGTTCTCTCCCAGGCCCGACCCTGTCCCCCTCCCACCCCTCCCTAGATGCTTGGGAAGTCCCTTTTCCTGTAGGCCTCACTCTTCTGATCTGTAAAAGGGGGCCATTGGGTCCGGGTGCCTGGAGGGTGGGCAGGCTGCTGGATTTGGAGCCAGGCCGTCTGCTTTGGAACATTGGCTCAGACACCTCCTCAGCCTTTTCACCTGTCCCCTCATCTGTAAGCCCCCCCCAAGGGCTGCTCTGCAAACCCTTGAGGCGGCCTAGCAGAGGGAACTGTCCAGGGCCAGGGTCCTCATGTTGCCCCGCCTTCCCTGGTTGCCCCACCGGCTGGCAGGCCCCGGGAGCCAGGGTCAGCCCACCTTCCCCTCTACTTCTCTGCACCTACCCCTGGCTTAGTGATTGAGGGTCACTCTGAGGAGTCCCAGCAAACCTTCTCTTTGGCTGTCAGTGACTTAAGAGTGAAGGTGACCATAGGGTGTACCGCTTCGGGGTACGAAGGCTTCCCTGGACCTCCCAGGGAGGGAAAGGCCAGAAGCATGTGATGGTGTGCAGTGAGAGGGTAAAGATGAGAGTGAGACCATGGCCTGTGGAGATGGATGGGATCTGAGATGTCCAGACCAGCCCCTTCCTTATGTTACAGATGGAGAAACTGAGGCCTGGGTCTCATATCACTTGAATTTGAACCCAAGTCTTCTGGCCTCTCCTCTTTTGCTCTTTCCCATACAGAGCTACAGCCAGATTGAAGATGGCAAAGGGAAACAGGAGGGCAGTTTTGAATGTAATTGTTGGGGTTGACGTGTAGACCCAGGCCCTGCAGAAGACCCCGTTCTCCCCTGTTCTTTCCCCTGGACCCCTCCAAACCGTCCTGCCCAGAACAACCCTTTTCAGATCCTTTTCCCCAGGGACAGAGGGGGGAAGGCAGGAGCTGCAACATTAAGTGACTGCTCTGGGCCAAGCCATGAGGAAGACATCCAAGAGCTCCCTCCCTAGAGGGAAGAGGAGGCCCGATGCTTTAATGACCTTTGGTGCCTGCTGTGGGGAGAAGTGGGCCTTATGGCGCTGGGGGGGGGCCACCCTGCAGTGCCCACCCCACTGCTGGCTTGTGCCCTTTGTTTCTATGGACCTTTCTACTTCAAGATGCCTAAACAAAGCCTGTAAGGATGCTGCCTCGCCCACCCCCTCCCCAGTCCTGACCCCTGGCAAAGCCCAGGAGCGGAGCTGGCTGGGCTCTGGGCAAGTCAGTCCTTTGGACCGTCACCTGCATTGAGCCCATGATCTAGAGAGTATCTAGGCCACCCCCTCTTATTATGGATGAGGAAGCTGAGGCCCAGAGATATGAAATGCCATGGCAGACGTCCCGTGCAGCCACCTGGTGGCAGCTGCTCCCTGCAGAGCACTGTAGACGTCATACCGTTGTGCCCCCTACCGCGGCAAGGCAACAGCTGTCCTCATCCCCAGTGAGTGGGCAGCTGAGGCAGCTGACCCCCAGATCAGTAATGTGATTGGTCAAGAGAAGGGTGGGTCACGGAGCTGGCAGCATCTGAGGCAGATTAGGTCTTCCCAACAACTCCAGACCCCACTCTGTCCATTTGTCTTGACCCCTAAGCAGAAGGCAGCTGTACCCTGAAAGCTCCCCAGAGGGTGGCCCCTTAAAGAGCCCCCCAAAGTAAATCATGGAGATGGGCCTCTGTTGAAATTTACCTGTTAAGAGTAGTTAGGGGAGGGAGGGCAAGAATCACTAGGCTGGCATGGGGGGGGAGGGGTCCTCTGCTCAGCTCAGTCCCCGGTCATCGGCCTGCATGCAGTTTAACCACCTCCTGCCCCCATTCCCACTTTCTCCAGAGGGCCCCTTTGCCCTCGATGTTGCAGAATCTCCAAGTTAGAAAGGACAGGCTTTCAGAAGGCGTGAAATGATCTAAATACGACGTGATCTCAAGACACTTCAGCATCTTGCCCTCCCCTGGCTGGACCTTGTGTGCCTCAGCGATGTCCTGAGATATGATGCCCAGAATTCAACCCAAAGGGGATCCTAGGTCTCTGCTAGAAGGCGCCTCAGAGGCCATCTTGTTCGATGCCGTCACATGACTGGACTACAGATGGGTTCAGGAGCACACCTGCCTGTCCCAGGCACCACACCTCTCTTAAGCAAACCTGAGGCTGTTTTGTTATTCTTGGCTACCTTCTCACATTATTGGTTCATTTGGAGTTCGCAGTCCACTAAGAACCCCAGATCCCAAGGGCTTTCCGGGCTCAGAAGGTCCCGAGGTTCTTCTGTCTAGACAAGGTGAGACCTGAGCTAGAACTCAGAGTACCAGCAGGACTGGGCTTGATGGGAAGGAAAGGGAGGGGAGGGCGAGGCAGAGTGGAGGGAGGTGAAACAGGCAGTGCCTACATGGGTCAGGCATGTTTACAGGCTGAGCGTGCCCTGCTGGGTCTTCCGGTTTCTGGAAGCTGCACCTGATCGACTCCAGGAGGCAGGTTTGGAGGAGCTGAAGGGGTGCGGGGAGCAACGTCCTTGGGCTTCCTAAGCGCTGACTCTCTGGCCCCTCGCCCGAGGGAAGCATCTGTGCAGCAGGAGCGGGTGATCCCGGTGCTTGGGGCTTGGCTTAAGGAGGGAATCCATCTCTCCACATGGAAAGAGGAAGAAGGTGGAGGAGGAGGGGTGAATGGTCCAGCACTCAGGGCCCTGGCACGGGATGCCAGGGCTTGAAGAGGCCACCAGTCTGCTCTCCTTATTACAGAGCTGGTGACTGAGACTCAGGAGAAAGGACTCACCTGGGGTCCTGACTCTAGCTCGACCCTGGGGCCAACCCATTCCAAGGCCACTAGGAGAAGCAGTGCTGGGCACTGACACAGATTCATTTTTGAAAACAAATCTTTATTGATGTCATTTTTGGAATCGGCATCATTTCTCCCAGTGGGCACAGTGCAGAGAGCACCGGGTCTAGAGTCAGAAGACTCATCTTTGTGAGTTCAAATCCGGCCTCAGACACTGATGAGCTGTGTGACCTGGAGCAAGTCACTTAACCCTGTTTGCCTCAGTTTCTTCATCTGTAAAATGAGCTGGAGAAGGAAATGGCAAACCAGTCCAGGATCTCTGCCAAGAAAACCCCAAATGGGGTCATGGAGAGTTGGACACAACTGATATGACTGAACAGTTTCTCCCAGGATCCCTTCTCCTGCACCCACCTAGAGAACCATCCCATATAACACTATTCTTTAAAGGAAAAAAAAAGAGGAACAAATCAGCATAACTGAGCAATATGTCAGATAAGTCTGACGATATGTGCCATGTGCCACCATCACTTGTGGGGTGGGAGGAGGCTTCCTAAGTCTCTTCTTGGGGCCAGGCTTGTTTTTTATGATTTCACAACATTCACTTGACTTTGCGTGTGTGTGTGTGTGTGTGTGTGTGTGTGTGTGTGTGTGTGTGTGGTTCTTTCCCTTTCTATTGTCATGACTGTGTTAACTTTCTTAGCTCTGCTGACTTGTTCTGCATCAGTTCCTGTAGCTCTTGCCATGTTTCCCTGTATGGATCATTTCTCTAACATTCCATTCCATTCACAGACCGCCCTTTGTTTAGCCGTGCCCCAATCAGTGGGTGTCCACTTTATTTTCAATCCTTTGCTCTCACAGAAAGTGCTGGGAATATTTTGGTATATTTCGGGATTTTTTTTCTTACCATTGGCCTCCTTGGGGTCTCATTAATTGACTCTACTGATTTGGCTACCTGGAAACTCCAGCAGATGAGGCACTCATGTGGCCTTAAGAAGGAATCTGCGAAGGCTTCAAGGAGGAGGTGGCCTTTGAGCTGCCTGCAGTAGGGAGCACATTCCAGGGGCCAGGGCACTGGTCCTCAGTCTCCTCTGGAAAATGAGAGGGTGGGGCTCATTGTCTGCAAAGTGTCCTGAGAGGTGGTGATGAAGATAATCATGTCCCAGTTATATAGTTGAAGAAACAGGTGCAGGGTTCTTTTTATCATAGGATCATAGAGGGCAGGGGCCTTAAAACCTCATTTTGCATATGTGGAAACAGTCAGAGCAAGTCATACATATCTGGCTTCAAGTCTAGCTTGCTGGTGCCTGCACCATATTGTCTCTCTGCTAAAAGGCCACTGGGGGGCGCCACAGTGCACAGAGCCTTGGACTAGGAGTCTGGAAGACCTGAGCTCAATCCAGCTTCAGGCTCCATCACTTCAACTTGGGTCGGGCTCAATTTCCTCACCTGTAAAATGGGGATCATAATAGCACTGCTTTCCCAGGGTCATTGGGAAGATAAAATGAGGCCATATTGGTAAAGTGCTTTATTATTACTTATTATTATTATTATTGTTAATTTCATTCAAACTCTAGCTTTGGCAGGTGCCTAGGGAATCTCCTCAAAAGCAGAGAGATGAATGGTTTGTACCCTGCCTGTGTTCTCAGGGTGCTTGAGAGCTTGAAAGCAGTTTGTTCTGCAGTATTTTAAATGTTCCCTCTGTAACCTGGTTGGCTTTGCTGAGCACATCCTGAAATCCTGGTGTCCCTTTGCGTGTTACTCCCAGATGCCCCTTTGGCACAGTTCTCTCTGGCACCGGCAAGAGACACCCCCCCCAAGCACCCATTTTCTTTTTTTAAAATTTATTTTGATTTATCAATAATCACTTCCATAACTTTTTGAGTTTTAATTTTTCTCCCCCTCCCTCCCCAAGATGGCCTACAGTCTGATATAGGCTATGCACATACATTCCTGTTAAATATAGTTTCACATTAGTGATGTAAGTTAGAATTAGAACCAATAGGAGAAACCACAAGAAAGAGAAAACAAAACAAAACAGAGGGAAAAAATAGCAAATAGTCTGCTTTGATCTGCATTGTAACTCCATAGTTCTTTCTTTGGATGTGGAGAGCACTTTCCATCATGAGACCTTTGGAGATGTCTTAGATCCCTGCATTGCAAAGCACCCATTTTCCAGACTCCTTTTTCTGCCAGTCGACCAAGCGACTGGGGTGTGGGGGTGGAATGGGAGCATGAAATGTAACGTTAAAAGTTATGTAACGTACAAGGTTAGAAGTGATTCAAAGTGCTCTCGGAAATCTGAGCAAGAGATCCCTTTTAGCTGGGGGCTTCCTGAAAGAGGGGGCATCAAAGCTAAGCCTTGAAAGAAGTGAAGGATTTCACAAAGTCAGGGCCACTGGCATTTATTAAGCCCTTGTAATGTACTTAGCCCTGTGCTAACACCTGGCCATACAAAGAAAGGTTTAAAAAAATAAAAGCCTACACAAAAAACCCCAGCCCCTGCCTGGGGGAGCTCCCGATCTAATCGTAGAGACCACGCGCAAACAGCTAGGTAGGAACAAGCTATATACAGGCTACATTAGAGATCACCCCAGAGGGAAGGCACAGGATTAAAGAGCATACAGACAGGCTTCCTGGAGAAGGAAACCGGGAAATAGAGATGAGGAGCAGAGCGTCCCGGGCATGGGGGGACAGCCAGGCCGTCTTAAGAGACAGGTAGTGAGCTCCCCATCACTGGAAGTCTGTTAGCAATGTTCAAAAGGGGATGCCTGCTGGCTCAGGGAGGGAGGTGCTGGACTTGATGCCTCTGAGAAGTTCCCTCCACCTCTGAGTATGAGAAATGTGGATGGAGTAAAGCTGGAAGGAAACCTGGAAATGCCAGGTTAAGTGAGGCTAGAAGAGAATGGGGCTGATGGTACTTATCCTATCGGTCTTGCTATAGGGCAGGGAGGGCTTTGGGAAACTTGTAAATGGGATCTTCGAGGTGAACCCCCGGGAGGATTCCAGGCTGTCATTTCCCTTCCTTCGGGGTGGGAGCCTCCCATTTCTCAGATAAGATCCCAGAACTGGCACAGGGAGGGGGGAGGCAGCCCATATGACCTCACCGAATGCATGCATGCACTCCAAAGTGCTCATCCTCCCCTTGAGCCCCTTCCAGGTCCGCATTCTCGGCCCACGCCCACCCCCATAGCTCCATAGAGTTATTGGCTAGGCAGAGAGGAAGACTGACACCTCTTGCTGCTGTAACCGTCTGGGGACAGCTCAGAGAGCAGGACCGGCAGAAGATACCCAGGTTCCCGTGCTTGGCAGAAATACAGCCCAAGCAAAAGGGGGATCCCCATTTCGGGGAGACAGCTGGGAGGGGGCAAGGTGAAGCCACAGCAAACTTGAGATAGAGGGGACCTTAAGCGATCATGTTGTCTGACTCCATTATTGTTCATGTTGGGAAGCTGAGACCCAGAGGGAGGAAGGCCCTTGCCTGAGACTCCATGAGCCATTCAGCCACCATTTCAGACACAGCGTGATGCTGTGGGAAACACTGGGACTCAGAGAAGCTGGGCTCAAACACTGGCTTCTCCACTTACTACTTGTGACTTTGTCAAACTATTTTCCCCCTCCTCTGGGCCTCAGTTTACTGTTCTGTAAAGTGAGGCTTTCTCTGTAGTCCTCCCTTTCTAGCTGAGCTGAAGATGTGCCTACTATGCAAAAGACCCCATTCAAGGAGATAGAGAACAGGTTCAGGTCAGATGCTGCCTTCAGGGAGGTAAGGTCCAGGGTACTACAAATGGACAGACACACAGCAAGACATGATAATGTGATCAGAGAGGACGGCTACCCTGGGGAGCTCTCAGAGGCCGGGGTGACCTCAGAAGCCAGGCCACTCTCAGAGGCTGGAATGCTCTCAGAGACAGGGGGCACTCTCAGAAGCCAGAGCACTCTCAGAGGCTGGGGTGCCCTCAGAAGCCAGGGTACTCTCAGAGGCTGGCATGTTCTCAGAGGCAGGGGGCACCCACCCACAGAAGCCAGGGTGCTCTCAGAGACAGGGTGCTCTCAGGGGCCGAGTTGCCATGCCTCCCCAGAGGCCTGTTGGTCTCCATAGAGATGGTCCAGGACCAGGCTGGTAGAAGTTCTGAGATGGGGGGATGGGGCAGAAGAATACTTTGCTAAGAGCCCACCAACAGTCAATTCTGGCTGCCTCTGCGTTAAAACCTAACCATGATGCCCGGGTCCGGGGCCCTTCGGTCTCATCTGAAAAGGGAACGGCTGCCAGCCTGCTGGGACTCCTTTCTGGAGTGCCTCTGGCCCACCAAGTAGGTGGCTTCTAACTGCCAAGGCTCTTGAGCTGGGAAACAGGGTGCCTGGGTCCACGGAGGCAGAGGGGGAGGTGCTGGGCAGGGTCTCTCAAGGGCTGGGGAAGCTTTATAGCAGAGAGGATCCCTGATGGCCTCATCTGAGGAAAGGTTGGGGCTCTCTCCAAGGGTCCCTCAGTCCCGTGGCCTCCCAGGCACGTAACAAGATCATTCCCATGGGTGGGAAGAGGCAGAAGCCCCCATTTCAGGATCCCATTGTCCCCAGACTTTGGGGAAGTCTCCTCCCCTTTCTGGGCCTCAGACTGAAGGTGGCGCTTCTCGCTCACCTGTGGGATATGGGCACTTGTGTCATGGTCAGGGCTGCGTGGGGAAGGTGGTTATTCACGTGGGCGCCCTCATCACCCCCTCCAGGGTGCCTTTGGGAGAGGAGATGGGGTGTTGATACAAGGCCGACCTCGGGCTCGGAGTGCAGGGAACGCCAGAAGGAAAGACTTGTCCATCAAAAGCAAGAAGGGCAATGTGCCTTCGGAGGTGGAAGAGTGAGTAGCTGGGTGTGCAGGGAGGGGAACTGGGGCTTAGGGAGGTGGGCATTCTGACCACTTCTCTCCCGATCCCCAGCCTCACCCTGCCACCTCCGCGGAAGCCTTCCTTCCCGTTCCAGTGGGCCTGGGAGAGCTTCTTGGTGGATGGCCGGGGCCTGCCCCTGCCCTCCCCCAACTCTTCCGATGACATCCTGCTGCCCAGGAAGGCCCAAGCCTCAGCCCTGCCGCCTGCCAGGGCCCTCCGGAAGTCCCGATGGAAGGCTGTGCCTCCGCCTACCCAGCCGGCCAACTTCCCACTCTACTGGAACATGGAGGCCCGATGTCAGGACATAAAAAGGCAGCTGAAAACCAGGGTTCAACCTGAGCCAGACGACAGCCAGGATTATCAGGAAGGCCAGGAACAAGAAGGACAAGACCAAGATGGTGGGGAGGAGGAGGAGCCAGAGGGCAGAAGGGATCTCAGCCTCTGGCCCTCTCTTCTGTCTCCTGAGAACAGGTTGAGATTCCAAGGTCAAGGCCGGGGAGGAAGCCAAGGGTGAGGGGCAGCTGTGGGGCCAGGCTGCAGGGGCAACAGAGGGAGAGGAGAGAGTGGGCACGGCCTCAGGGCAGTCAGTCTGTTTCCCCTGGTGCCCAGGAGCAAAGAAGAGGAGAGAGACCAGCTGAGGAAATGGAATGCCCTCCTTCTGGCTGGTTTCGCCCTCCTTAGAGGATTTCAGAGGAAGCCGGCAAAGTTGAAGGAGGAAGAGCTCTTGGACATGGCGATCCTGCAGAAATATCTGCAGGAGGAGGGGCCCTACTGTGAGTCCTGGGCTGGCCGGGGGTCCCAAGCACACTGAGTCATCCCCAGTGGCACCCCCATTCTCTGGCCTTCTGCTAACTCTTATCAAAGGAGGTGGTTGGGGTTCTTCAAACAGGGGAGGGCTTTTCCCTAGGAGGCCACCAACATTTGTATTCTGTCAGCAGATAGCAGCCCATTAGCCAGAATAATTCATTAAAAATCAGAATGTGCCAGGCAGCATCCCCCTTTCACATCACAGGAGGGGCCTCCTCCCCATCCTGGCCTTCCACCCCAAGAAGTGGCCTCTTGGTGTCCCAAGGTCTCTGTCCAATGTCCTGGATCTGAGGTTCCCCTGTCTCAAAAAGTTGAACTTTGGTTTAAATTTTGTTGAACCTTTGTGCTGTTTGCTATGACTCCAAACGGGGTCTCTGACTCCTAGTGGGGTTCTCTCCCACTAGGCCACACAACCTGTTTAAGAGGGCAGAGATATATGGGCAACATTGTAGGACTATTTCCATCCTAAAGGTGATGGTGCTTAAGGGGCCACCTTCAGTTATCTGGAAACCTCCCTTACTTCCCTAATCCTACCCCTCCCACCCCTTCTGCACTCGGGCAAGCACTGGGGGAGGATGGGGAGAAGTTGCCTAAGAGAGTGGGGAAGCCAGGAAGTAGAGAGGGATTCCTTTGTCATCAGACTCCCAGTGGCCAATGCAGGATATCATGCACTCTCGAGGCCACAAGTTCCAGGCCTGGGAGGATGTTAAGCCCTTCCTGCTGACCAGTGGTACCACCAGAACCTTTGAAAAGCGACGAGAGGCCACCAGGTAAGTGCCCTCCTGTGTGCTTCCCCCCCTCCCCCAGGGCTGGGTAGTAAAAGGGAGAAAATGAAGGCCGCCTGCCCCTTCATCACTCCTTCACTGGCTGTCTAGTGCCTTCACTGGTTGAGGGGGCTTCCTCTTCTGGTGATTCCTACATCACTGACTTACACACCCACTTCCTATCACTCCCATAATACATACAGATATATATGCATATGCATACACACACACACACAGAGTGAAAAGGCAATAGTACAGACAGAGATGGAAGAGACCTTCTACCCTCTTGTTTTATAGTTAAGGAAACTGAGGCCTAGAGGAACTTGCCTAAGGTCACTCAGCCCCTAAACCCCAGTTCCCTAAAGATCCCAAGCCCTTCCAGGCAGGGGAGGGGAGGGCACCTGGGCAGTACCTCAATGGGTGCCAGGGCATCCCAGAGCCTGCTGCCCCAGGATCACTATGCTATGTGACTCGATGGCTCAGAATTCCAAAGGGATCCTACCAAGCCCACCTTCTTCCCCCTTCCAAAGCCAAAGGCTAGGTGGGCTCAGCAACACAGCAAAACTCACATGCTGAGTGAGGTCTGCTGGCAGGGGACGCCGTCCCTGAGGAAAGCAGGGGATGAAGACTGTCTGAGGCCCAGCTCGGTTCCCCCCTGGTGCCCCAGTGCTGACCAACCCCATTGGACTTAATACGTGCAGACTGTTGCTGATGGCGGAAACCTTGGCTCCCCCATCTGTCAAATAGGCACACTAAAATCTGCCTTACAGGGTTGGTGGAAGGCTCAGCCTGGACTGTGCGCAGACCAAATCACTGTATAGACCTTACAAAGTGCCCCCCTTGGGGCCCGGCCCGGCCCACAGCTGGCATGGCCAGTGGGAACCCAGGGCAAGCCACTCACATTTTCCAGTGGGCAGTTTCCTGATTTGTAAAAGGAGCCCCAGCCTTTTGAGGCCTCCTTCAGCTCAAAATCTATATAACCTGAGTCTGCTTTCTTGCTCCTCAGACTGGGAGCTCCTTGAGGGGAGGGACTGGCATATTTTAATTTTGTTTTTGGCCTTTTTTTTTGTATGCCTGGCAGCTGGCACATAGTAGGAGCTTAATGCTTACTGCCTGCCTGCCCAAAGGAAGGCTACCATTAAATTCAATATAATCCGGCCAGCACTAAGAGCCTATTACATGCCCAGCTGTGGGGCTATACCAGACAAAACCACAATTCTTGCCCTCAAGGAGCTTACATTCTACCTGAGGGAGGACGGATACAATTGGATACAAACTATGTATAAAGAAAGCACAAGGTTATGCGGGAGGGGTAGGCACTATCTGGGTGGGGAAAGGCCTCCCATAGGAAGGGTTTTAGAAGATTTGAATAAATCTAGAGATGTCACAAGGAGGAGATGAGGAGAGGACTGTGTTGCAGGCCAGGCCACAGCCCAGAGATGGGAATTGGCTCCACATTGGCCAGACCTTGGTTGGGGGAAGCCTAGAAAGCAAGGCCCAAGCCAGATGGGGAGCCCTAAATGCCAAAAAAAGAGTTTATGTTGGACCCTAGAGGCAGGCGGGAGCTCTGCATACTTTACCGTGGAAGATCACTGTGGCAGCTGAGGGGAGGGTAGACACCTGGGACAGGGAGGGCAACAGGGGTCCGGTCTAAGGGTGTGGCGATGGGAGCCTGGAGAGAGGGATGACTCAGAGAGTGACAGGAGGATGGCGATTTACAGACAGGAAGAGAGGTCAGTCTGAGGGAAAGATGATGAGGTGTGTTTTGGGTGTGTTGATTTTGAGGGGCCCATGAGGGTCACTGAACCCACTGAATGGAGGGAGGAAAGAGAAGAGCCTTGGGACATCCCCACGGTTAGGGCACAGTTGGGAGGCTGGGATGTGAGTGCAACAAAGAACAAAGACATTACACGTCCAGGAATCGAGAGAGATGAGTATAACGCTGGCCCCGAGAAGTGAGAATGTCCAGGAGCAGAGTGGGGTCACGTGTCAGAGAGGCCCCAAAGTGTAAGCCCCGAGAAGGAAGAGCTCTTGGGGAACCTGGAGAGGGCAGCATCAGCTCAATGAAGTCAGAAGCCGGAATGCCCATGGTCCAGAGGAAGTGCAGGCAGAGACCGTCAATAGCGTTTTCTAGGATTTTAGCAGTGAGAGGGAGAAATAGAGGATGTTAGCTCAAGGGAATGGTAGGATCAAGGGAGAGGGTGTGTGTGTGTGTGTGTCTGAATGGAGAAGGCTGGGTCCTCCTTGGAGGCAGCAGGGAAGAACTCTGCCTTTAAGACGCTTCAATTCTCCTGGATGAGTCACCACCTTTGTGAGAGAACAGGGAAGGGAAGAGCTCAGGGAGAGCCTCCTGAAGGCAGGGCCACATGAACTGGGCTCTGAAGGAGTCTAGGAAGCTGCTGAGCTGAGGGGAAGGCAGATGATCGGGCTGAGGGAGGCAGATGGGCCAATTCCAGACCATTCAATAAGAGACGGAAGCAGGGGCACCCGGGGGACTGGCCCATAGATGACTTTGTTCCTTTGTCCCCATCTTCACTGGACACCCTGCGCTTTGCTCTTCTTTGACCCCGTCCTTGCCCACATTCCCTTGTGCCCATGACTTGGGCCCTCAGTGATTCTGCCTCCAGGGTCTTGGCTTCATCCAGTGCCCCTGCAGGTCCCTCACCTGGGCGCACACCCTGCCACTGCTTCTCAGACTTAAGAAAGGAAAAATGGGTCTAGTGGAGACAGCCCTGGCTCGAGAGTCAGGCAGCATCGGTGGTCAGCCCAGCCCTTTCTTCCCCTGGCTTTCCCCTTTCTGAATCTTGATACCAAGGCTGGAAAAGGGCTTGGGAAGTGGGCGTCTGGATGGGAGGGATCAGAGGGGTGGCTGCCTGTCCTCTTGCAGGGCCTCACTTCATCCCCACCCCCCTCTCCAGGACCTTGATGCTGGACTGGGAGCGACGCAAGCGAGAGGAGCAGGCCAGGGAAGAACAGCGCCGAGCTCAGGAGCATCGGGTCCAGAAGCAGGTGGCTCGGTGCCTGGCAGCCTATGGGCCTTCCAGGTCCAGGGGGTCTGGGGCATCCCATCGCAAGCTTGATGAGCTCAGGTGCCCACCTCGTGGTGAGGAGTTGGGGAGGAGGTTCCCCGGAGGTGGGGGCACAGCTGGTCTCTGCAGGAGCCTGTGCGTGGGGCTCCAGGGCAAAGGGGGAGAAGTGAGGGGCCAGCCCCTGCCAAGTGCAGGGAGGGAACACCCACTTTGGCTGGGGAGCCAGGAGCTGTGAGCAGGAGAGGTGCAGGAAGCTGCCCAGGGCAGCCTCACCTTGATCCTGCTAAGGCCCGGGGTGCTGAGGCAGAAGCTTCAGGAGATCATGGCAGAGGGGGCACCAGTGTGGCCTGATGGAGTAGGAAAGGCTGCTGGGGAGAAGAGGGTTTGAGGTGGGTCTGGAGCAATGCTCACAATGTGGATGGGCCTGAGTGGATTATGTGTGTGTGTGGGGGGGAGACATTCTGCAGATGAAGCTGAAAGGCTCTGAAGGGGGTTGGGCAGAGAGGGAACCAGGGAAAGTGCTGGGGGTGGTGGTTAGCAGATAGCTGGGGTGGGAGAACTCCAGGCAGGAGAGAGAGCAGAGAGTATGTACTTCAGTTGGGGGCTGGGTAGGGAGAGAGTTAGGCTGGGGGAAGTACTCTGGACAGGGGTTTACAAAGAAGCTAAGGGTTACCAAAACATGGGGAGGCATGGAAGGCTGCTGCCCTCCACCCTGGGGTTCTCTGTGCAGGAAAAGAGGAGGAAACAGAAGGCCTGGGGTGGGCACCGAGGCCGGCTCCAGCTGGCTGGACAGCGCCATAAGAGGCAGCTGGTTCCTTACCCCCATCCGCCCTCTCTGCGATCTTTGTCTGAGATTCCCCTGCAGGGGTCAGTATCTCAGCATGGCAAGGGGGCCCTCTCCTCGTCCCGCTGTTCCACTATGGAGAAGGGCCAGGGAGGGTACAGTGGCTGCCACCACCTCCAGTAGGGCCCTGTGGGCCCAGGTCTGTTCACTGCTGCTGCAAGGGCAGCAGGGCCAGGGCAGGACACATGGGCTCCTAAGCCCTTAGCTGTGCTCCAATACCCTGGGACCTGATTCTGGGCCATGGAGGCCCAGAGAGAGGCAGCATCTGGCCGAAAGCCACATAGCTAGGGAGGAGCTGGAGGGAGGGTCATCCAACTCGAGGTTGTCTGACTCCACACCTCATTCATTCCCCCAGCAGCTCTGTGTGCAGAGAGCAAGGGAGCAGAGAAATAAACATGCTCACTGGTCTCAAAACTGACTGCTTATTGCCTGGGGCTGGGAAGCACTGCCTTCTGCAGGGAATTGTTTCCCTAGCCTGAGAGATGGGCACAGTGCAGAGTAACACCCCTAAGAGTAGCTAGGGTTTATTTTGTGCTTCACGATATCACAGAGGAAGAAACTGAGGCAGACAGGGGTTCAGCGACTTGCCCAGGGTCACTCGGCTAGCGCATCTGATGGTAGATTTGACCCCAGGCCTTTCTGACTCCAGGCCCAGCGCTCTCCCCACTGTGCCACCCAGCCTCCAGAATCAGGGAGACGTGGTTTCCTAGCTGCGTGGACCTGGCTTCATCTTTCGGTCAAGGTTTAAAGTCTAGCATCTCAGGTCCCTGGTGGTGTCCCCAGAGCCTGGCCAAGCCCCTTTATCACAGAAGGGTCATTTCAGAGGGTTTTCAGGCTGAGCCCAACCTCTAGTGACCCTGCCCTGTCTCCGCATACCAGGCGGCAGGAGAAGCAGCGGTTGGCAGAGTACCAGGCCGAGCTTCAGGGCATCCATCACCGGGTGCAGAGCCGCCCATTCCTCTTCCAGCAGGCCATGCAAGTATGGGCACCTACCTCAGCGAGGCACTGCCAGCTTTGCCCTCCCTCCCTCAGCACCTGGCAGGACTGGAGCCAGGGAGAAGTAGATCTCCCCAATTCTGTTGCTCTCTCTCCCCCAGATCCTCACTGCCCTCACTCCCAGGCCGCTATGGTGTCATCCCAAATCAACACAGCTCACATCGATTAGGTCCCTGCTGTGTGCAGTGTCTTATGACAGGGTGAGGGACTACCTTTGCCCCCTGAGGGGGACTCACCACCTAGCTGGGGGATAATGTTACAAATATTCCAAGATACCCATGGAGCTGTGATCTCATTGATCAGCTGTCTCTCCAACAAAGACACTCATCACCTGTCCATGCCTGCCCAGCCTGTTTCCTAATCTGTCCTAGAGGAGGGGACATTTTGAATTGAGTTTTAAGGGATAAGAGGAATGGAAACATGAAAGAGAGGGAAGGGCATAGCTAAGCTGGAAAAAGGTATGAAGGTTCAGGGCAGCTCAGCAGTTCAAAGAGTAGTCTGCTTAGGCTGGGGTACAGAGGACTGGGAGGAGAATGGCATGGATCCAGTCAGAAAGGCTGGACCGCGCCAGATAGCAGGAGGCATTTGGCCTTTTCCTTGGTGGGCAATGGGGAGCGTCTGGAGACTCTGGAGCACAAGATGACGCTGGCAGGGGGCCCAAAGGTCCGGAGGGCCATCGGTTTAGCAATAGAAAGGACCATGGAGGCAATCTTACTCCAATTCCCTCGTTTTACCGAGGAGGAAGGTGGGGTACAGGAACTGGAGAGGGGAATGGAAGAAGTCACCCTTTGGGAGGCAGATGCAAAGGTGGGTGGAAATGAAGCCTGCACTCAGGTATGGCTTGGGACTGGAGAAGAGGAGAGGGGGGGCTGGGGAGGTGGGTGTGGCTGCTATGAAGAGTGAGAACCTTAAGGTGAGAAGAATGAGTGACAAGGTCATCGGGGTGCCAGGGACAGACTCAGAAGTGGGAAGGCTAAGGAGGGTTAGCGGGAAAGGAAAGAACAGCCCCCTCCAATAGAACTCTCAGGCCCAACCCTACAGGAGCCAACTCCAGGGAATGGAGACCTCCTGGCTCTGCTCATTCTAGGGCCCATCACCACACCCTTCTACCAGTCAAGCAGTGAAATCAATCAGGGAAGAAGCCTACTCTTAGCAGGCACTCTTCCTGCCTTGGAGGAGCTCCTCATCGCACCTCCCAGATTGGGGAGGGGAGCCCTCCATCCATACAGCCTCCCAACAGTTGCCATCTCCAGAGGTGGGGGGGCCTCTCTCACCCCTCCCACTGGTTTGAGGGGCTCTCATCTCCCTAACAGGCCAATGCCCGGCTCTCAGTGAATAGACGCTTTTCCCAGATGCTGTCGGCCCTAGGTTTGGACGAGGAACAGGTATTGGCTGAAGCATTGAAGGCCGAGATTGAGAAAAAACCCTCAAAATACAGGTAGGGAGCTGGGTTTTCCTCAAAGGTTGAAAGGATCTGGAGCACACCCTTCATTTTACAGGGGAGCAAATGGGCTCAGAGAGGAGCCTCCAGGCTCTCCCAAGGTCACATAGCTAGCGCAATTAGAAGCCCTCCGAAGGCCCAAGAGCCATGCCTCCTGGCTAATTTCACCTGGCTGGTCCCCAAGCCTGGAACGCTTTCACTCTCTTCCCTCGCCTCCTACCTTCTCTGGCTTCCTTCCAGTCTCAGCTGAAATCCCACCTTCGGCAAGAAACCTTGCCCAGTCCTCGATCTCCGTGCCCACCCTCTGACGCCGCACCCAGTTCAGCCTGCGCATAGCTTGGTGGTGTCTCCTCCGTGGGGGCGGGGCCTGGTTTTTTGCCACTTGTGTATCTGCAGTGCTCAGTGTACTGGCTGGCACACAGCAGGTGCTTCGTGCATGCTGGATGGCTGAGTGACTGACAGCGGGATAGCCAGCTCCATCACTACCACCCAAGGGACTGACCCCGGCTGGAGAAGCTTGGAGGGGGTCTTTTCAGGTGCTTGGGATGCAGATGAAGGAAACGGCAGGCCTTCACGTGGGCAGCCCACATCCCCATCTAACCTACTGCATTCACACTGTAGACTGAGAAACCCTCCTGGGAGTAGATGAGATCCCTGCTGCCAGCCCAGAATGAAGGGTGCTGCAAGGAGGCAGCTTCCAGGCCAGTCAGCCCCTGAGGGGAGCCCGGTTGCCAAAGAATACCCCTCTGTCTCTTCCCAGGTCCTCAAAGACCGGGAAGCTGGCCAAGATCCAACTGGAGCAGCTTTTGTGGGGCACGGAGTGAACAGAGCTGGAAGCTGTCTGAAGTCAGCAAGCCAAGTAGAGAACATTACCCGGGGCCCAGGACTGAATGGGAAAGGAAGAGAAAAAGAAAATGAAATTATCATATTAAAGCCCAGCGTCTGCTTTCCTGCCTGGCCAGAGCCCTTGGGAGCCTGGGGTCTGTCTGGGGAAGTGAGACAGATGACTGATGGTAACCAGGGACGCTGCATGCAGACGGAAGCATGGGGTCTGTGTCAGAGCCAGAGGGGAATATATCCTCAGCCCTCTGGCCTGGACCAGGCATACACCCTCCCCAGCCCCCAGCCCTGGGGAATCCAGAATTCCCTCCCCACGAATGACCTTTTTAACACCAACATTTAAATTCCTTAAGACCCCAGACTTACAACAGCCACAGAGACCTCTCAGTCTTTATCCCCTTTAGGGGAGGAGATGGTCCTCTTTGGCTGAGGGACATGGAAGCGAAGTGATTTTGTACTGGGTCAAAGGAAAGTAAGGAGGTACCTTACAGGTCATTTGGTTCCATAAAAAGGCATTTAGGAAAAAAAATATTGCAGAGGGGCAGTGAATTTCATAGAGCCATCTGAAGTCATATATTAAGCACCTATCGTGTGTGGTGCCAAGGAGACAGTCCTCACAAGGGCTTATTGACTAGTAGAGGGTTGAGAAGAAATCATACAACGAACAGACAACAGAAGACGATCAGGGCATTACAGGTGTATAAAAATAGGAGTCAGGAAGACCTGGGTTCCAATCTCACTTCAGACAGCAGCTCCGTGAGTCTGGGTAAATCACCCCTGGTTTCTTATCTATAAAAGGAGGGGACTGGAGTCGACGCCCTCCGTGGTCCCCTGCCAGCTCTAAGTCTGTGATCTGAAGTGAAAGGCCTTTACCAGACAGCAGGATTGGGGAAGGCTTCTGAGGGAGGTAGCATCTGACTTGGGCTTAAAAGGTCAGGGTTCTCCCTAGGCTGGGTTGCTGTTCAGCAAAGGAACATCCAGATGTAAAGCACAGTGTAAAAGAAGGCACAGAGCTGAGATCTCGCAGGCCCGACGGGATGATATCTATACAAACGGTAGAACCCTAGCTCACCGCTGGAAGGCTCTTCAGAGGCCACCTACTCTAAACTTAGTCTTTCTTTAGGAGGAAACTAAGGCCCAGAGAGGTCAAACGACTTGTCCAAAGGCCCCAGCAAGCAATATGGCAATATCGATGCTCAGGACCCTTGAGGCCTCTGGGACTCATGGAACAGTAACTAAACAGGAAGAGCCCTGACTTTAGAATCAGGGGATCTGGGTTTGAATCTTGCTACCTGTACTTTGTGAGCTCTGTGATCTCAGCCAAGTCACTTGACTTTTCTGGGTCTCAGTTTCCTCATCTGTAACAGGATGGTGTTAGACTGGATGGCCTCTTCCTTCCAACTCTAAACCTCTGAGCCTGTGCCTCGATTTTCACCAACAATACAGTCTGAGTCTTAGGGTTCCAAATGCAAGCTTTGCTCACAATATATTTTTCATTTATTTTTATTTCCAAATTCTCTTCCTCCACCCCTCCCACCACTCATTAAGAAGTCCAAAAATGTCAATATCCTTTACACACATGAAGTCACGCAAAACCTATGTCCACATCAGCTACTCACAAATTAATGATGCTATTGTTGGTTGCAGTATTGACCCTCACTTAACATATTCCTCTCATGCCTAAATCTGGGGGAGGAGGTAATCTGGGCTCAGTTGGCAAGGCTGTAATTATGGTAGGGCACTGAGATTTTGTCCCCAGGCTCGGAATTTAGAGTTCCCACAGCTCTTGCAGCCAGCCTATCAGTAAGGGACCAGAGAATTTCAGTGACAAGAAATGACTGATTACAACAAGATTCCCGATGGTGGGATGGCTGAAACCCTCCCTGCACCGAGGGTGGGCTTCATGAAGCTGGTTCTAGCCACGTACAGCTCTTAGCAGTGCCTCCACCAGCCAGTTCTGCAGAGTGGGGAAATGTCAATCATTGTTGGTGAAAGGAGCAGTCCCAGAAGGCTCTGAGAAGAGGCGGGATCTTGGATGAATTTGGCCATAGGACTAAGGACTTCCCTTCTTGGGTCACCCAAGGAGCAAATCAGAAATACCTAACATGCAGTCATAACATAATTTCTACCATCCCTCAGAGGAGGCTCTTTTCTCATGAGGATTTACATAAACAATAAACTCATGCTGGGGATGTCCAAATGCTCGATTTGGGCATTCTCTTTAACAATGCAGAAGAAGGCAGCCTGTCCAGGTCCTCCCAAAATTTTGCCACAAGGGGTCTACCCAGAATGTTGAAAACCTTCCAGTGGCCTAGCCTTACCAGATCTAAAACTGTATCATAAAGCAGCAATCATCAAAACTACTTGGTACTAGCTAAGAAAGAGAGTGGTGGGTCAATGGAATACGTTAGATACACAAGACACAGTAGTCAATGACTATAGTAGTCTTGATAAACCCAAAGGCCCCAGCTTCTGGGATAAGAACTCACTCTTTGACAAAAACTGCTGGGAAAACTGGAAAAGAGTATGGCAGAAACTAGGCAGAGACCAACATCTTACACTGTATAGCAAGAAAAGGTCAAAATGGGTCCATGATTTAGACATAAAGGGTGACACCATAAACGAATTAGGAGAGCAAGGAATAATTTACCTGTCAGATCTATGGAGAAGGGAAGAATCTATGACCAAACAAGAGATAGAGAACATCATGAAATACAAAATGGATAATTTTGATTACACTACAACCAAGATTAGAAGGGAAGCAGAAAGCTGGGAAACAATTTTTACAGCCAGTGTATCTGAAAAAGGCCTCGTTTCTAAAATACATAGAGAACCAAGTTGAATTTATAAGAATATAAGTCATTTGAGAATGGAGAAAGAATACAAAACAAGCAGTTTTCAGATGAAGAAATCAAAGCCATCTATAGTCATATGAAAAAATGCTCTAAATCACTATTGATTAGAGGAATACAAATTAAAACAGCTCTGAGGTACCACCTCACACCTATCAGATTGGCCAACATGACAAAACAGGAAAATGATAAATGTTGGGGAAGATGTGGGAAAATTGGAACACTAATGCATTGTTGGTGGAGCTGTGAACCGATCCAATCATTCTGGAGAGCAATCTGGAACTACGCCTAAAGGGCTATAAAACTGTGCCTACCCTTTGACCCAGCAATAATACCACTTCTAGGTCTGTATCCCAAAGAGATCATAAAAAAGGGAAAAGGACCCATACGTACAAAAATACAGCAGCTCTTTTTGTGATGACAAAGAATTGGAAATTGAGGAGATGCCCATTAACTGGGAAATGGCTGAACAAGGTGTGGTATATGAATGTAATGGAATACTACTGTTTTATAAGACATGATGAGCAGGCAGATTTCAGAAAAAACCTGGAAAGATTTACCTGAATTGATGTTGAGAAAAGTGAGCAGAACCAGAAGAATATTGTATACAGTAACAGCAACATTGTGTGATGACCAACTTTGATAGACTTAGCTCTTCTCAGCAATACAATGAATAAGACAACTCCAAAAGATTCATGATAGACAATGCTGTCCACCTCCAGAGAAAGAACTATGGAGTCTGAATACAAGTTGAAACATACTATTTTCTCTTTTTTTTTCTTGCAGTTTTTCCCTTTTGTTCTGATTCTTCTTTCATAACATGACTAATGTGGAAGTATGTTTAATATGACTGAATATGTATAACCTATATCAGATTGCATACAGTCTTGGGCAGGGGTGAGGGAAGAGGGGAGAGAGGGAGAAAAAAATTTGGTGCTCAAAATCTTATAAAAGTGAATGCTGAAAACTATCTTTACATGTAACTGGAAAAAATAAAATACTATTAAGTGGGGAAAAAATGAAAACCTTCCATCCAGTGGAAGGTGTCCATGACCCACTTGTCACCTCTGTCAAAAAGGGACAGCTAGACGGCACAGTGGATAGAGCAATGGTTCTGCAGTCAGGACAACCAGAGTTCAAATCCCGCCTCAGACATATAGCACTTACTAGCTGTGTGACTCTGGCCAAGTCACTTAACCCCTATTGCTTCACCAGACCAAAAAAACAAAAACAAAAAAGTGGGGGCAGCTAGATGGCGCAGTGGATAGAGCACCGGCCCTGGATTCTCTGATGTCCTTTACTACTGTTCTTTGGGATGCTCTGTTGGTTAGATGGCACAGCCCGCTCACACCTGCCGTGCACTCTTCTGGTGCCCCTAACGGTATGCTAATCTTCAGGTCTTCAAAGGCAATGGGGTTTCAGGCCTCGTTGCCATCCAGCAACATTGGTCATGTTGAGAAGATTGGCCCTTTGCCGTCATGGGAACCAAGGTCTTGGTAAAAGAACCCTGCAATTTCCCAAAACCAATCTAATTTTCCTCTTTCCTTTTCAAATCTAGATCCAGCTCATGGTCTCTACTGCTTATCCCAGAATTCCATCCTGTCGGTCAAGCCTGTAGGTTGCTAATTCAGATGTATGTGGAAATCTGAGCAATAGACGGTCTTCAACTATTTGATCTTTCCTGGGTGAATGAACAAACCCAACTCCTCTGGACAGTTAAAGATCTCTTCCAAGAGACTCTGCGAGGTCTTGGGGCTTGATGCAATCAACATGTCACCCTCAAACAGGAACCCTCACCATCCACAAGGGATCCTCCTCAGCAAGGACTCCTTGTGGACCACCATCAGAAAGGCAAATATTTAAGGCAAGAATACATCTACTTAGTTTGTGCCTTACTGGGTACTGTTGACCAGAGGGCCACTGAATAATTATTTTACATCTTCTGAGGAATTTTAATAAGCTTAATATACAGAGGACACACCTAGTTAAACAACACCTGTAAAGTGGGGGGGGGACATTTATTCCAGTGGAATGCCATTGCACACAATGGGATCTTATACTCTCAATATCTTTCACATCAGTTGCAAGATGATAAACATATATTGCTGGATATGAATTTATAAAAAATTTTGTAAAAATGTCTGCTTATTTGCTACTAAAACCCTGAGGAAGATCTCAATTTGTAAGAGTCATATAGATGACCCTCAAGAAGACTGAATACCTGGGACAGTAAGCATGCTGGTGTACTGTTATTCAGCTAATCTCAGACTTTGTTACTGGCCTTTGCCATCTTTCCTTGCTTTATGGATACCATATGAATGAGTCCTCCCATTCCCCTACCACTGTACGGCCTGCACCACAGCTCTCCTCTCTCTATCCACACGTGTGTGTACACGTACACATACACACATATACGGGGGTGTACACGCACAAGTACACCCACATCTATATTTGATCAATGTATACACACAATCCAATCCAGTTCCTTTCCCCTCTTTTTTCTCTTTAGTGCTGTCTTTACTTCCATAAGCACCTGAGGGACAAGAGCGATGCTTCCACTCCCCCTGATGAGTAAAGGAATGC